GGGGGGAGTGGGTAAAAGGGAGCTGATGTCAAGGAGTTCCAGAAAGATGAGAATGTTTTGAAAATGATTGTGGTAGAAATTCTACAATACTGTTTGATGTGACTGAACTATGGGATGATATCTGTATTAGCTCCTAAAAAATGTTTTTTGGGGAATAAGAGTCATAGTAAAACTCCTTTCACTGAAGGAAGTCTATTTCCCACAAAACAAAATTATGCATTAGATATTTTTCTGAACATGTAAGGTGAGGCTTCCTTCTTTCACCAGAATCTTGGAGCGATGGTGACCATAAATTATAAAAGCCAGTCTTAATGTTTCCTCCTGTGCTGCTGGAAAACTAAACCAAACCAAACCAAACCAAAGCACTAGTGCTGATGTAAATTTACCCAACAAGAAAATACAGCTATAAGAAAACTATCAAGGATCTTATTGGGTAAAGCAAGATCCTACTCATACACTAAAAAGTCTAGGTCTGCCCTTTGCCCAAAATGGCAGGAAGTTCTGGTTTTTTCACGGGCTTCTCTGAAAGAGGAGCGCTCGTGGCCTGGCGGGTATCTGTGGGGCCACTGAGCGCACGATCAGCAGTTCAACAGCCCCAGCTGCACCAGAATCAGCTTGACAGACGTGTGTTTGGTATGGGGGTTCCCCTGAAAGAAGATGGGGCATGGTGTTGAGAATGAACGGGGCAGAGTTGGTAGTAGAATTACACCAGGTCCAGACTCCACCAAGAAACCAAATCCACTGCCATGAAGTCAATTCCAACTCATAATAAAGTCTACAGGCTGAGGAGAACTGCTCCTTAAGGTTTCTTAGATGGGTGGTCTTTGCAGGAGCAGAGACCCCATCTGTCTCCCTCCCTTGGAGCAGCCTCGGGGGTTGTCTGGGTCTGAACAGCCACCCATACAGTTAACACACCTAACAGCCCAATTATTCACCTAACTCACAGCCCCACCAGGGCACCATAGGACCAGATTGAAAAAACCAAACCCGCTGCCATCAAGCCAATTCCAACCCAGAGTGATTATATAGATGGTTTCTGAGACTATAAATCTTTGAGTCAAGCAGCCTCATTCTTTCTCATCCTTCAAAGTGGCTGTTCCTTTTCAACCTCTGACCTTGAGGTTAGTAGACCAATACGTGTACTTTTAGGGGAACAAACTGTCCATTGGACTATTGTTTTGTTTGGACATAGGATATTTTCCTGAATTATTTATGAGATCTCTTCCTATCATAAGACAATTTGTCATATGTTTTAAAAGCTTTCCTCTAAGCTTTAAAATATGTTTATGTTGGAGTCAGTGAGGATATAGAACTCCATGTGGGTAGAATGATCTGTTTTCCCCTTGAGGTTTCTTGACTTGTGTGCTGACAAAGTCCTCCTTTGACCAGTTAGTTTCAAAAACCGCATGTAAAGCCAGCCATTGATTCTGCTTACTTGAATGTGTTTCTGCAGAAATTTAGAAAAAGCTGGCAATAACAGTAAAGCCATGTTACGAGCCTTAAGGATAAGTGAGACCATTAAGGTCCCTGAAAGTGGCTACATTAAAAAACAAAAAAACCTGAATGTAGGTTCTTAATGTGCTTATGATAAGAGATCAAGAAGGTATGGTCAGCCCCTCTCACTATGTTGAATCACCTTAGTGCCCTTAGGACATTAAATGCCCTCTTTCCAGGGTTCCTTATTACTCCAACTAGGTAAAATACTATGTAAATAGGTGGATTAATTTTAAATTCACATCCACAACTAATGCTGGCTTTTTTAAGTTTTTGGTTCAATTTTTAACGAGTGCCTCCAAGCCTTCCACACAATATCTCTGGGAGAAGCCCTTTCCCCTTTCTCCCATGTTGTTTCCCCCCTCCTTGCTTTCCAACGCCCCACTCGCCCGGTGCCACAGTCACTATGGCCAGCGCCGCTACTCTCCCTCTCGGGGCCCTCGCCCACCCGCCTCGCCCACCCGGCCTGCTCACACACCCAAGTGCAGGAGCTCCTTCGCTATGGCTTTTCCGATGCCGGTGCCCCCGCCGGTGACTATGGCCACTTGATTCCGCAGCAGGTCCATCGCCAGACTACTCTGGACCTTCGTCAAGGAAGCCATGATCGCGGAGCGGTCCAAAGGTAACTGCAAAGGCCCGAGACATCAATAGGTCACGGACCTTAGAAAGGACGGCCCACGTGACCACCCGAGCCCCGCCCCTCCCAATTCCACCCTATCGCCCCTCCGCTCGGCCCGCCCCGCCTCTCAGCCCCGCCCCGTCACCCAACCCCTCCTCTCTCCAACCGCCGCTCCGCTCAGCCCCGCCCCTCTCAGCGGCCCCGCCCTCCACAGGCTGGGCTCCGGAGCCTCTGCGCTGGACCGCTCCGGAATGGAAGCTCCCTGATGGTCCTCATCCTCTGCCGGTTCCGACCGCCGGGCACGTGCGGGTGAGACTTCTCGTTCTTAAAGAAAACAATAAAATTCAATGTCATTGAGGGAGGAACTGGGGGCAAAAAGTGGGGTGTGCTCTATTTCGAAAATTCATTCCCATTGCTATCGCTCTCGTGGTTAATTAGATTTCAGTCTCCAAGGCGGCTGCGAAAAGAGAAGCCGCAGGTCGGGGGGCCTTGCCGGGTCCTTCCGCAGCGGACGCCGGGCGATGCGGCTGTCCGGGAACAAACCCGGCTTTCCAGACCTATTCGTCCTTGGTGTGAGCACGGGCGTGGGAGTGAGGGCTATGGTAGCAGTTGTCCCCAGAGCTAAAACAATAAATGATTTGCAAAATCATCGCAGCCCCACCTCCACTTCATATCCCTCTCCCCACCCAGGAATGAAGGGAAGAAGCCACCTAAGCCAGACTTGGGAGCTGCTCCAAGTCAGCCAGACTGCCTAACAGTTGAACCCCAAAGAGGATCTTGTCTTGCCGGGGGGTGCATGCTTCCTGCAAAACACACACACACACCCGCAATTGTAGCGTGGATTTGGGGTCTTGCTTCTTCCTTAAGGAGAAACAAGCCTGATGAGGATGGGGGAGATATCTCCCCGTGTTCTGGTGCCCGGTGACAGCGATGGGCTAGTCGGATTGTCACCCCTATTGTTCAGCTTGCTCAATCCACCACAGTATAATTGCGCCTGGAATAGCCCTGTGAGACTTGGCCTGAAAACTCGCCAGCTGTGACAGGTGCTGTGGTTGTAACCTTCTAGGCAGGGTTCTCTGTGTCTTAAGTCTGATGCTAAACCGGCTGTTGCATTTTCCTTTGTCAAGTATTAAAATAATTTAAAAGTGAACATTACCATTCTTTTGTTGGATACCCCCTAGGATTCACAAAGCCAATTGGAAAACCGGCTGGTTCCTGTGGAATCAGGCCCCTCTTCTCCACTGGGTCTCACCCACCAACAAGGCTGCAGTTCTTCCTCACCACCCACCTGCCTCCCTCTCCCACCAGCCCCTTGCCCTCCTCTGACCTCTTTTTAGAAACACTTTCCCTTCTCCCGCTTGCTGATAGATTTCCAGATAGTTGCTGATGGGTGTAGGCAAGTTGGTTCCCACTCATATTGACACTATGTATCAACATCCTCACAACAGCAGGTGTGTTGGAGTCACAACCACTGAGTTAATCAGGGTGTCCTCTTTGTCACTGACCCTCTCCCAAGCATGATGATGTCCCTCTCCAGGAATTGGTCCCTTCTGATAACATGTCCAACATAAGTGAGACAAAGTAAATGACCTTCCAGTGCATATGCATGAAGGAAGCAAGGGAAACCAGCACGTGCTGTGGACACGGTTATCAGACCCTGGAAAAGGACATCATGGTTGGGAAAGTAGAGGGTCTGCAAAAAAGAGGGGGAGCCTCCAGCAGACGGATTGACAGCAGTGTCTGCAGCAATGGGCTCAAACATAACCATCGTGATGGTGCAGAAACCGGGGGTGAATTGTTTTGTGGTACCAAACCAACAACCGAAGCTTGCTGCCATGGAGTCAATGCTGACTCAAAGTGGCTGTCTGTGGGTGTCCAAGACTGTAACTGTTTACAGGGGTAAGAGGACCAGTTTTTCCCCCCTCAGAATTGCTGGTGGTGGTAGTCTCAAACTGTTGACCATACAGATCACAGCCTAACTCGGAAATACTACACCGCAATGGTCCCTATGAGTAGGAGCTGACTGAATGTCACCTAACAGCAAACAGATTTAGAGAGGGCCCACTAGCATCTTCTACCTAAACCAATTGCATAACTATGGCCAAATGAAAAAAATTACACCATTGTCATCATTACTTCTTTAAAAAATAAAAAAGTAAATTGAAATCAGAAAATTCAAAGCACTGTTGCAGAAAAGTATCATCGGTGGTGCTTTGATTCTAATGACAAAATATTCTTTTATAGCAGAAAAAGTTCTAAGGGGTATTTTACTCCATTATTCCGTAAAATTCCATGCTTCCCTCCACCCACCCATGGATGGGGGTGGGAACTCACTCTCACTGCCATAGAGTCGATGCCAACTCATCGTGACCCTCACAGGGTAGGGTAGAACTGCCCCTCTGTGTTTCGGAAACTCTATCTCTTTATGGAAATAGAGAGCCCCATCTTTCTCCCACAGAGTCTCTGGTGGTTTCAAACTGCTGTCCTTGAAGTTATCAGCCCAAAGCATAACTACTACACACTCTAAAACTCCTGTTCAATCGGGCTTTAAAAAAAAAATATTATTTTGAAAAATATTTTATTGGGGCCTCGTACAGCTCTTATCACAATCCATACACCTATACATTGTGTCAAACACATTTGCACATTACCCTCATCATTCTCAAAACATTGTCTTTCTACTTGAGCCCTTGGTATCACCTCCTCATTTTTCCCCCTCCCTACCCCGCCCTCCCTCCCTCACCAACCCTTGATAATTTAAAAATTATTTTTTATTTTTCATGTCTTACACTGTCCGATGTCTCCCTTCACCCACTTTTCTGTTGTGTGTCCCCCAGGGAGGGGGTTATATGTAGATCATTGTGATCGGTTCCCCCTTTCTATCCCACCTTCCCCTTACCCTCCTGGTATCACTACTCTCATTATTGATCCTGAAAGGGTTTATCTGTCCTGCATTCCCTGTGTTTCCAGATCTTATCTGTACCAGTGCACATCCTCTGGTCTAGTCAGATTTGTAAGGTAGAATTGGGATCATGATAGTAGGGGGTGGGGGGAGCATTAAAGAACTAGAGGAAAGTTGTATGTTTCACTTGTGCTATACTACACTCCGACTGGCTCATTTTCTCCCGGCAACCCTTCTGTAAGGGGATGTCAGTTGCCTTCAGATGGTCTTTGGGTCCTCACTCCGCACTCCCCCTCATTAAAAATGATATGATTTTTTGTTCTTTGATGTCTGATATCTGATCCTATCAACACCTTGTGATCACACAGGCTGGTGTGCTTCTTCCATATGGGCTTTGTTGCTTCTCAGCTAGATGGCCTCTTGTTTATCTTCAAACCTTTAAGACCTCAGACAATATATCTTTTGATAGCCAGGCACCATTAGCTTTCTTCACCACATTTGCTTATGTACCTGCTTTGTCTTCAGCGATCATGTTGGGACGGTGAGCATCATGGAATGCCAATTTAATAGAGAACCCTTTTTTACAATTGGGGGGTGCTATGATGAAGAGAGATGTGGGATCTCTTCTAGAGATCTTTGTTTAAAACTAAGGAGAGCCAGTGTTTGAAAGGCTGCTGATCAGACCAGAGACACTGGCATTCGCTCTGCTGCTGGAAGGTGGGAAGGTACTTTGTCTCTGATTCCAGCTCTGTCCACCCCACCCCCTCCCCGAGTTGAGGCCTCTCCCCTCAGGGAATCACCCAGGCTGCACTGGCCCCTCCTTTGGCTCAATCTACTGCTGCTTTTTTGGGGACACGCTGCATCGCTGCCTCCCTTGTCCTGGAAAGGAAAAAAAAAGCACCCCGTGATCCTTCCACACTTAGTCACATCGGTGAGTTGAGACTCCCTTCATCTTCTGAGATGCTGTGTGGCTGCTGGGGAAGCTTCCCACCCTTCCCCCACCCCATCTGCTTGGCAACCTCCTCCACAACACACACACACCATGTGGCCAAGCAGCTGCTTGCTCAGACTAACAGCGGCCTGTTGGATTCTGGAAAGTCTAGACTCAGCCTAGCGCCAAAGGAACATCATTGAGGCACCTTGGTCTCTATTCACCTCAAAGCAAGACCGCTCTTGAGAGAACCCCCATGGATAAGACTAGTTTGTAGCACTCAGCCCAAAACGACTGAGTGGCTTGCCAAGCACCGGGCTCTGGCAAAATGGCACTGTGGTGAATGGCTGGACTGCCCACCAGAGCGTCCGCGGTGTGACCCGGAGCCACGCTGCAAGAGAAAGCTGTGGCAGCTTGCTTCCGGAAAGATGGACACTTCTGGAAATGCTATGGGGCAGAGCTATGCTGTCCTGTAGGGTCCACTCCACAGCCATGGGCTTTCGAAGAGTGGGAGTGGAGGATGAAAAAAGGCAGGACAATAAGTCCATCAGAAAGTGAAGATCAGTTCTCTGGGCTCCCACAACAGGCAGAGGCGCAATCTCCTCATAACCATCCTCCCACCTTTCTAGGAAGTATTTCTTCTGTAGACAGTCCGAGGCTCCTGAACTTCCCCTTCTGCTCACAAGACAGGTGATGAACAGGTGCCTCCGGGTGAGAGCCTTCCAGAGCAGGTAAGGTAGGCACTGACAAGAGACACGCTCTGCTGCTCATTCTCCAGAAACCAAGGGGAAGGGGCTCTCGCCCGGCTGTGCACAACACCAGTTCACAGTGGCTGGGAGTGGTCAGATGCGCCATCATGGTTCCCATCATTTCACACCCACCTTAGCCAGGATCCTTTCCATCTTTCCAGTGGTGAGACCATCTGCCTGAAAGAGTCATTGCCCATTCTCCATGGCAATATGGTCAGCCCTTTATCGCCTGGTTGGGATGGGATAACAATTGGGAAAGTCTAGCTATCCCAGAAAAGGAGCTCAGTGGTGTCTTGGGTTATGTGTTAGGCTGCTAACCACAGCGCTGGCAGTTCAAACCTACCAACTGCTCTGAAAGAGAAAGCTGAGACTCTCCACTCCCCTAAGGATAGAGCCTCAGAAACACACGGGAGCAGTTCTACTCTGTCCCATTGAATTATTAGGAGTCAGAATCAACACGCTGGCAGTGAGTTTGGTCTGGTTTAATGGAGCCAGATCGGCGCGGCCCTTTTTTTCAAGAATTCACAAATCAGAGGGGGGTGGGAAGAGCAGCAGGACGGAGGGGAGGCATAGTTCCCTTGAGTGGCTTTAAAATTAACTTATTGGAAGTGAGCTCACTTGAAAGTGATGGCACATCTTCCTCTCAGCCCCAGCCATTTAGGCTCTTTGGAAGAAGTAAGTGTGCTAATGTGAGTGAAAGTCAGGGCGGGGAAACAAGCAGCTCCCT